ACCTTAAAATTACTTTGAGACCATCTGGGAAACTGACAGTAGACATTAAAAATTTACTTTAAAGAATTTTCAGGGCATTTTGAAGACAAGTAGTTTCGCTTACTTTTTGTATATAGAAATGATAGAATACAGTGAGTTGAGTGTTTTGGGTACTGTATGTGACTAATTGACAATGGGGAGTAAAATGAAGGTCTTCCACATTTGTGTATGGTATTGCAGTAATCATTCCGGAGATTAGGTTGCCCCTTGTAGGAACAGTCCTTACTCTGAGTATTAACATAATCGCAACTCACTTTAATCCAGTTTTATTGTTTTTTTCAGTTATCTGCAAATTTATGAGTTAGAACAAAATGTAAACATTTTAGTAAAGAAGCATAAACTCTCCAATTTTTATTCCTTATATGAACCTCTTAGTTTTATGAGCCAAAGGTTTTGTATTCTATTTGGAAAATGAATTTATAGACATTAATATGAAACTTTAAAGATTAATTGAGCCTTTCAGTATTGTGGGCACATGTTCTAATGATGTCTAGACTCATTAGAGGGATGAGTCCTATGTACATCCTGTGTATTCAGAATTGAGTTCATATGTATAGGTTTTTTTCTGAAATATATAATTTTGCTCTTTGTCTTAAAGTTGCTGTAGTAAATGTTTCATTATTCAGTGTTTCTTTTGGAAAAACTTTTATTTTACAATCTTGAGAATAACTGATTAGTATAGCCCGAGTCTTGAATGTGCGAAAGTGAAGGTCCATTAAAAAAAAAAAAGACAAAACAACTTGGAATTAAGCCTCATTTAACTATATTTCTGCTAAGTAGAGTATTCACTATTGTGAATTAATAAATTAGAAAGAATATCCTGTGGAATAACACTGTTGTTATGTAATGTACACTCAGTGCCCATGGTGTTGTACAAAGAGTCTGTTTTATAGAGTTGACTTGAAAGTTTTAAACATTCTTTAAGTTTTTAATAAAGAAGTATGAAATTAATAGTTTATTGGTCAATTTATTTTCAACTATATACAGCAAATTCATTTAAAATTTGGAGCTGAAAATATTTAGACCATAACTGTTTAGTCAGAGTTGATGATTTTCAAAATTAATTCATACTAGTCTTGAAAATATACTGACTACATTATTATTAGAAAAACTAAAATATACTTTCTATACTTAGAGTTTCCAGGCAATATAGCATTTTAAACACATCAAATTCTACATGTTTTTGAAGCAGTAGATCACAAGGGTACTTAATAACATTTGGATATAGAAATATATCATGTTTCATAAAATAGTTAGCAACCTAAACCTATTTGTCACTTTTACAATTCTAAAGGTTTAGCTCCAGAATTATTATGAACAACTTAGAAAGGACATTGTACTTTGAAGTATAACTATGATTGATTAGACTAAACTAATTCCAGCACTGCATTGTATACTACTTTAATCTTTTTGAAAAGCGAATGAACAGCAGATGGCCTAATAAAGACACTCTGTGTCCTTGCTCAGTGTGGATTGGCTCTGAAGGGACCGGCTCAACACTTTAGAGTCCATATATTTGCAGTACATCTGTCTTAGTCAAGACAGATGGTTAAAGGAAAGAGAAACTTCCAAACTTTTGGATGTATTCCAGTTGGGGGCTGCATGTTTGGACGAACTGTTCATAGGACCTGACTTTCACCTTTAAGTTTTTCTCAGAAAAGTATTCTCTCTGATAGTTCAAAATATATTTGCAAATATAATTGCTACTGCATTTTGTGATTGTGTTTTTTAGAAAAGTGTTACATTATCACCCATGCTTTCTGTGTATATTCCAATTCTTACTAGAATATTTTGGACTCCACATTTTTAACTACTTATTTGATTGGTAAAATGAAAGGAAATAGAATACGATAGCGTTTTACAATTACAAAATGAAGGTTAGAACATGAAAGTTGTCTTAATTTGTATTATATTTCCATTAGAATACAGATGGAGGAAGAGCAATATATATTACCATCATATTTGGAATTTCAAATGTGTGAAGTTTGAAAATTTTAAAAAGTTTACATCATGAAAGCCTAATTACCCTATAATCAAAGATTTATTCATAGCATATTGATGCATAAGAGCATGGTACTGACTTGAGAAAATGGAAGAGTGATAGAGGGAATGATTTGTGAGAGGAATGTTCATTTCATGGTTTTTTTTTTGTTTTTTTTTATTTCAGCAAATTATGGGTGTACATATGTTTAGGTTACGTGTGTTGCCCTTGGTTCCCCCCCCACCCATTTCATGGTTTTAGAACAAAACTCAAACTACTTTAATTAGGAGAAAGTGTTTAGATTAGCTGTTTCTCTTTAGAAACATGTATTTAATATGGTAATTTCTTCAAACTGGTTATGTACACCCTAGTGAAATATATTCATGAAGCAACCTGTTGTGCACTGGTGTTTTGTGTCTTACAGTCATAACAAGTAGTGGCTACAGCCCCCGATCAGCACATCAGTATTCCCCACAGCTCTATCCTTCCAAGTAAGTGGTCAGTAGATTCTTTCTGTTCGTTAAAACAATTTTCCAGAATTATCTTTATTAATCTGTATTCACATAATATAACAACTTAAAACTGGCAAACATATATGTATATTATAAATAGTCGGATAGATTTGTGGGTAGATTAGACATATAGGTAAATATCCTGTATAAACTTAAAATAGAGATACCCACTTTTATCTGGATAATTCCCTCCAATCTGGACTTACATTCCTTGAGGATAACATCAAGCTCAAATCAGAATTCACTGGTTTTCTAGATGCAAATTCAAAAATGCTGGCTAGTTTAAAGAAAACCTGAAGAGTTTTCATTTTATCCAAACATCAGCATTTCGTTATATCATTGAAATTTTTTGTTTGGATTTAAAGTTATAATAAACATATTTTTGCAGAATATGCTTTATTGTTTTTATAACTAATATAGTCACCTTATTGAGGGTAGTGGTAGACATTTCTCAAGTTTAACTATGTTGGGTGTAT